ACTAGCAAGTAACTTTTTATCGTTTTTTCTTTTCACAGAAGATCACAGGCAAAATGGAAATAATCTCAGCCCATTGTTTCTCCGCGGCCACTAAGATAGATATACACTCAACCTACGGTTATTTACATTAACAGAAAGACTTGCATACAAAACGGAAAACTTGCATCAATTTGCAATGCAATTATTAAGATGTTTTCATTTTGATCAGCATCGATTGATTTTACTCCCTCTTTTTCCAAAGGTTTCAATCGTTATGGCATCGCCGATCGAACTAACTGCATTCCCTTAAGATTAATCGCAACATTATTTACACAATTTTTGTTATTTTGTGCTTTTATTTATTTATTTTTTTTTTGTTTTTGTTTTTGTTTTTTAATATTATGTATAATAATAGTAATCGATCGAGTGACTATCGCTCGTTGCCACTCAATCACTTAAGAATCAATAATGAAGATAGATATTAGAAATAATGTTGATAAATAATTTTTCTTAATAAGAAAGACGAGTCAGTGTTGCGCTTAAAGAACTACAGTTATTTCAATAGGCGTTACTCTGCTAAAATTCAAGCACTTTGCCAATATTATAATGTAATATACATAATCGACGAATTAAACGAACTTTTTTATAGTCGTTGAATAATAAATTGGAATTTGGTAATTTGTCGAAAGCGTGAGTCGTCCTCGTTTTGTACTCGATTGAAAGTATGAACGTCAGGTTTGAAAAAAAAAAAAGAGTTTTGAAGCAACGTGCAACGATAAGAGGAATGTGATTCGGTTCCATTAATTAAATTCACTTCTATAAACCAAGCATGTACGTATAAAAATTGTTTTCTCTCTCTCTCTCTCTCTCTCTTTTCTCTCTCAGTTTTGCACAAAGGACATTGTACTCCGAATAAAACGAGAAGAAAACGAGAGCGACCTTGGAAGATACAGCAAAATGCATTGTTATAATAAAAGAATTATATGCATCGACAAAAGATAAGTAAAGTTTATAAACAGACGGTATTATCTTAATTTGCTTTTCTGCTATAATGCTTATTACTTTATCCGCAGATATTAATTTAACGAAATTTCGAGCACTAATAATAATAGTAATAATAATAATAACAATAATAGTAATAATAATAGTAATAATAATAATAACAATAATAATAATAATAAACAAGACAAAACAAAAAAAGAAAAAACTCGTCCTCTCTCTTTTTTTTTTATTTATTTTTTTTTTATAATGAAGCATTTATTTAGTGTGCATTACGTGCAAAAGATAAACCTAAGTCCTCAATTAAAGTTCTTTCGATATTACCTTATGCATTACAATAATCATAATATTAATGATAATGATAATGATAATAATAATGATAACGGTGATAATGATTTAAACACAACGTTTCTTTTTTTAAAATTTAAAAAAACAATATCATAATGACAACATTATTAACGTCTATAATTAATTAAATGAAAGAGCGAGAGAGCGATGTTGGATGAAAGAGGCGCAATCTTACATGTTATTAAAAGAAAACGTGCGTCCATGTGTATATATTTGTTGTTGGTCGTGACATCTGTGATATAATATTCTGATTAGCTTGTGCTTATCAATGACATACTTCATTTCTTTCTTTTTTTCCTTTTTGTATAATGTCCTAAGTATAAAATTATTAGGTGTATTACTACTCCTTACACGCATTCAAGCATATATTCATGTATGAGTATACTTAATCGAGCCTCTCCTAATATTATTTAATGTACGACACCTCCAAAGAGCTTAGTATTTAATAATAAATTATTGCATTTCCATGCGAGGTACTCTTGTGAGACATACACGATTACGTACTATTTGATATAGAATTTTTCTAATTTATTCATAAATTCATTCGATAAAAATGGTATTTTTTTCCGCCCCTTACATTGAGCGAGAATTTTGAATTGATATTCCGAATAATAAAGCTTATTATTACGTACGCATAGTGTCATTGAGCATTTGGAGAAAGCACAGGCATTCCAAAATTACTCAGACTATCGTAGGTCAATATGACACGAACTTGAAAGGCTATATAATTGCCTCGATTGAGTTGCCTCGTCGCAGGATTGCTTGAATATTGTGAAAAAAAACTGACCTGAAAGATTCACTTGCTCTTAACTTTACTAGCAAATGCGCATTCGTTAAAACTCCCCCCCCCCCCCCCCCCCCCCCCCCCCCCACCGCACCATAACAGCAGATTTTTTTTTGTGATCACTCTATAATAAATATTCGTCCTAACGTTTTTTTAGATGCTGTGCATTGATTGGTGTGCTAAACTTTGCGAGAACTAATTAAAATTTGAAGATCAGTCTGGAGCACACTTATCGCCACTCCTTATAGGAGTCACGACAATTAACTTAAGCTTATAAATACATTAATCGCTACAAATTAAAAACAACGTTTAATATCTGCATACAGACCAATTCGCTTTATTCATCTTCTTGTTTTTTCTTCAATTTTTTTTTTTATTTTTTTTTTTTATATATATACCTTAAATATGTATTCGTTGTAAAAATTTAAGAATTACTCGTCCACACAGTGATATTATCAATTGATAGTATTGCGAGTATCTCGAACTCGTATTTGAAAGCTTCGTGCAATAAATACTATGAAATTACACAAAATTTTTTCCTACATTATTCATTACAAAAACAAAACAAAATAAAAAAAAAAAAAAAAAAAAAAAAATATATATATATATATATATGTACGTGCACTAATATTCAAACTGATTCGTTAACTTACAAATGCCAAGGATATATTCGTTATCACAGTAGGCGAAAATTGAATGAATCGTAGCGTAAAGCGGTGTTGTACACAAACATACAGCTAAAAGTTATAAAATCAATTTTTAACATTATTATCGCAAGTTCAGCATAATGTACGACAATAACAATAGATATTAACAAAGAATTATAAATTATAACAGTGGTATCAAATAAATATAGGAAAAGCTTAAGCGACTATGATAAAATAGAATTCGAAGGATTAAGCGGTAGTCGTTTCGAAGCTCGCGCGACTCTCGGTTTATCAACCAATAATCAAGTGGCCAAAGTCCACAGGAGTTTCTCCGGTCACGGAGTCAAGATCCTAATCTTCGTTAAAGATCGATTCGTTCAAGTGAGATAGATTATCGCTACGTCCCCTCAAAGCCAAAATTATCCTTATCCGCGAAGGAGTCCCAAGAAAGACAAAGAGACTCTCTCTCTCTCTCTCTCTCTCTCTCTCTCTCCTCTTTACGAGGCTGCGATATTTATTGACGATTGCTCAAAGATTCGCCGAGATCGTTGATCTATAGATCGATATCCTCGTGCAAATATAATTGCTAACATCATCTTACGACGATCGGATCACATTTGTTGATCACGTATCTAACAAGTGCTATAAACGTCTATCACTACGAAGTGACGTCACTTCTCACACGCCCACTTGTGATACATTTCTATTGGACTATTACATTGGATATACTTTGGAGTGTCAAAAGTTCACCAAATATCTCCACTTTAAAATTGTTGAGTCGACGGGTAGACACTTATATATGCATGGAATTTTATTCGCATAGCCTCGTAAGCCGCATAACTCGCCGCATTCACATTTAACGTGACAAATGATTATCGACCACGTAAAGTACTAATTGTCGATGATAAAATTTATTGGATATTATGTGAAATGCTAACAAATAATATGTAATTCAATTTTGTTCTTATCCATTGAAACGTTCAAAGAAATTCGTTTTCCAAGACAACTGATCGATTCCATTGATTGTATACAATCATTTAATGAACGTTAAAAAATTGCTTATTATTGATAGAAAATGAGTAGCGTATAATTGATTTATCAATGTTCAAATTATATTTGACGAATTTTTACTGATCGGTTAAGCGAGAAAAAAAATTTAGACGCAATTACGTGGATGGCATCGAATTTTCTTATGGCGTCCACTGAATTGGTACCAGCCAATCCACTATAAATTACATAAAGTGTAATAAATGTATTACAAAGAAATAATAAAAATCTCTTTACAAAGGCTTATTTTTTTTTGTTTTTTTGTTTTTTTGTTTTGTTTTTTTTTTTTCATGCTGTTGTTGTTATTGACATTCTTAAAAGCTACGAAAATGTAAAAAAAAAAGTATTATGCATTACATATGATGTTTAAAAAACAATTCTAATTACACTTTATATTCATTACTTTGTCAATTGAAAATGAGATAAGATATCTTGATCTATACTTAACTTACTTTAGCTTTTTCATTAATATAATTGGCATAATTGTCTCGTGGACCATTGATATCATCATTATTTGTGTATTAAACCTCTTAGTTCGGATGAGGAGAGTTTCGTTGCTTAAGCATCGAGAGTAAAGTTTAATGATTTTACAAAATATTTCAATAAATGATGATGTAATATTACAGAGAATAATTAAATGCGCGCGCGCGCGTGTGTATGTATGTATGTATATATATATATATATATATATATATATATATATATATATATATATATATATATACACAGATTAAGGGAACAAAATGTAAATAGAGATTATATTGAATTTTTCTAGTTAATACGGTAATAAAGGAATATTAAGAATTTTTAACAATTTCTAATTAATTTTTACTAATTATTGAAAGTGCTTTAGGTTTAAAACGAAAATTTAAATTAAGCACTGATTATATTCTATTATTATAAATAGCCTGGATATATATATATATATTATCGATGTTTTTTTTTTTTTAATATCAATACTAACAAACATTTTTCTTTGAAAAATTGTAAATAAATTTCTAAAAATTTATATACCAGATTATAAAGTTCGAAACAAATATTTAAGTAATTAGATTTTAAATTATAATAGTATTTAACTTACATTTTTATTTAATTTTTTGACACCCCGTTTCCTACTGCTAACGAAAAATGTGATTCACAATTAATTAACTCGGTAAGTAAATATTTTCAGAATTTGCAATTTTCCTTCAGCTCTTGTAACCAAACGACTTGTTAATATTTCTTGAATTACGTTCTTGGAGCTTTATTCTGGCGATTGTTCAATTGATTGCACTTACACTGTTCCGAAATATTTGCATTAGTGTGTACTCTTGAGGTTATATGCGGTAGCGAGCCTAGAAGATTAGATCCTCGAAGACTGCCCGCGAAACCGCTGCGTCCTAAGAAAGTGTGAGCACAATTGTATAACTTTGTTTGTAGTATCAATACGTCATCAAGATCTTCTTCACTGTAATGAAATTACATTATTATATTATTATATGACAAAAACCATATAGGACTATGTCGATTGTTTTTTTTTTTTTTTTATATCGGATAAATTCTTTCGTATTATTTTTCTAATCAACATTTAAACATTAATGTTCAATTAATGTAAAAATCAATTGAGATTAAATTATCAAATTTCTGTATAATATTCGCTTGGTAATTTCATTGACTGTAAGGTAAACATGAGAGAGAGAGAGAGAGAGAGAGAGAGAGAGAGAGAAAATTAATATAAAATAACGTATCTCGATATAATCTAAACAATCTTCTATACCTTCTCATTATATAATTACTCCAATAAAACTCTATATAATCGTTATTAATAAATTTTTTAATTAGAACTCATTACGGGGGTCCCAAAAATATAATAAAATGAATTTTGAAAAGTACGCATTCGCAAACTTGTTGATAATTATAAATGATTTATTTACCTGGCAGACGAAATAAACTTTTGAAAAAATCTATTTAGAATGGTTCGTGGTCTATTAACCGTATCTTCGTAAACATCAGTTTCTCTATTATAAAGATGTAAAAAATCTGATAACTGCTTGGCCGTTACCGCAGCTCTATCTTTGTCGCTCAATTTACTGCTTGGCAACTAAAATAATTCACCAAGAGGATTATTCTATGTTCATTTGGACGATAATTATACTAATAAATTTGAATGTTCAATTACAGGTAAGTACTCACGGTAAATAGGAAAGGTGTTCTTAAATTACTCACAGATTGTTGCAAAAACTTGCTTACGAGATCGCAACAAACAGGATCGGGATTTTGTTGTGAAATCTTGCGTAATATGTGTCCTAAATATAAACCAAAAGCCTTTCTAGCTTCTACATGACTAAAAGTTATGATAATTTTCATAAATAAGAATTATTTGAAATTAATAACATTAGAGGAGAATTGTGTCATAACAACCTTAATTTATGTCCTTCGCGCATCGTCTGCATCACTTGCATTTTGTACTTGTGTGTGTCGGTATCAACATTTTCTTTACCGTCATTTCGATCCAAACTCTGCCTGTGCCCTTTAAGCAAGGCTCTTTCGTATCGTTCAAATCTAAAAAAATTGAATTTTCATAAATTTTCTTATTCAACGATACTAGACTGCTGCTCTTGCTCTCTCGAGCAATATTAGCAAGTATTTTAAATTTTAAATAAAATTAGTAAGTAAAAGCCTTAAAAATAATAGCATTCAAAAGCATAATGAAATTATAATAAATACCATCAATTATCTTAGAATTGATAGATTTTTCAATTTTGCCCTTTTTCTTTTAGTATAAGAAATTCAATCACCTTGACAATCGATCCAACTTTATTTCAGGCATTATGAAATCAGATGTCCAGCTTGTAGCCGGAAACAATTGCTCGTGTAACATTAAATTATGATTTATGCTTGACACATGCTGTGTTCTGTTTGGACCGAGAAGATCCTTCTCAACTGGAATACCCGTTGCAGGATCTGTACCGGATAATATAATACATTTACATCATATATATATATATATATATATATATATATATATATATATATATTAAATAGTTTTCATTTACAAATATAGAATATTGATATCAAAATAGAATATTAAGGAATTGAAGGAAAAAAGTAATTGTGTTACATTATTGACTATCGGAATTTAAACTTTTATGTTTATTCAATGAGACATTATTTATTTATCATTATTATTTATTTCATTAAAAACAAATGCAGCTTATTCGCTGAATACTGAATATTCAAATTGAATACATACTTTCTTTTTTCATCTATTTCAACGAGTTTCAACATAATATCCAATAATATTATTCACAGCTTATTAAATAATAATTTTCCTTGTAGTTTAACAATTGTATAATGCCCATAAAATTTGTATCTTTTATTTTTTTTTTTTTAATTTTTGAAATAAAGAGTATTTTCCTGTACAGCCCATTAATAACACCGATGAAAATTATTTTTGGACAGATCAGTGTTTTTTTTTTTTTTTTTTTTTTTTTTTTTTTTTTTTACGCAAATTGTACAGATATAATATTAACTGTACGTTCTATAAACAAAATTTACACGAATTAACAAAATTTACACGCATTATAAATATTAAGACTCAATTTTCAATAAATATTTGATAAGCATGTGTTTTTAACCATTAATTATATGCGAATGAATTGGTCGTAATTTGTGAAAATTTTCTAACATTCAATTAAAATGAAATATTAAAAACAAAACAAAAAAATAATATTCTCAGACATATTAATAAAATGAACTAATCAGATAATATTAAGGATTCGGTGAGAGAATTTTGGAAATATAAATGAATGTATAATCGTCTAATACCCAAATAATGTGAATACAATTCCCACGATTTAGGACTTGGAAAAATAAGTACGAAACCACCTCGACGCTCGAATTGGGCTTTGGCTGATGATAGAATTCGTTGCTGCTCAGAACTGAGACTGGACTTGGTGATGCTCGTGTTCGTGACAATCTTCTTTTTCTTTTGATTTAGTGTCTCTGCCGAGTGCACTCTTCTACACTAAAGCATAATAACAATGATAAATTTGTCTATTTATTACGATGGATAATAGCAATTATGAAAGGCTCGATAAAACATTTTTGAGAAATACACTAAAGGTTTTTTTTCTTTCATTTAATATCTATAATTAACAACGTTTCTTACAATATCGTATTGCATGACAATGATAGGCGTGAACATATTAACAAAAAATTGCAACTGAAATTGACTATCGTGTAATTTAATGAAATTTCTTGCCATCCCTATTTTTCATTATATGTATATTTAAAATTTTCCCTTACATTTCAATAAACGCCATTGATGTAGTTCATTGAATAAATCTTTCAGCACATCGATTGCTTCGTAATAAAGATGAGCAGCGCGTGGCTACAGAAAACGAATAACTATGCGCTATTAAATTAAAGAATAGATGCATTTAATTTTATTGTAATTTATAATTCCAGAAAGTAAGCGAGTATCGAAAGATTCTCTTTATTTATACGATCTTTCAATTATCTGCGCGATAAGAAGAATTGAAACCTAATGAATCACGGATTAATCACTTTTGCTGTTAAATAGCAAACGTTCGCCTTTTATAGAAGATGAAACATGTGGAAATGAAAGAAAACGTCGAGTATACTCACGCTAGTCATTCGCTTGGCGGGTTTGACAGATCTATGTAAACTTGAGTTTTTAGGTCGCAAAATGGGATCGACGGCCGGTACGCCCACGAGTGTAAGCAGATCGGCTATTAGAGCAGATTTCAATCTGACATCGAGTGGCGAGTCGCAGCCCAAGGATGGCGTAAGGTTTACCTCAAGCAACCACGGCTTCAACGTATCATCGATCAGAATGTCAAAGCCAAAAAGCTCTACGCCAATTGAAAGAACATTACTATCCATTATAACTCTTATACGTTGTATATTATTTATAAAAATGCAATTATGCATGACAAAAAAATTGGTACCAGTAGAGCTCATTATTAACGTAATTGTTATAAAACTTATGCAATAAATAATTAAGTGCTTATTTATGTACAGGCGATTACTTATGCGCTGGCAGACAATACATTATGTGAATAGTGATTAGAGATGAGATTTTAAATTTTAAAATTTTTCAAGCATTGCGCGGACAATTAATACCTCTACCGTAATGCCAATGTATTTATAAAAAGAAAACATTTATAATTACAATATCGACATAAGATATTATCATTCCCGATTGCAAATATCGATGGGTGCGTTAACGTAGCAATTATTTAATCTTCTTTTTTTTTTCTTTATCTCAATAATTCATAATTTATTCAATTAAAAAATAATCCAATTGTTTTTTTTTTTTTTTTTTTTTTTTTTTTTTTTTTTAATTTAATAAATATGTAGAATTACAATAATATCGATAAAGTTTGGAGACGAATTGTATATTTGTAGATCCAACTGACGATGCTGTTGATTATACAAGTTGTTTGATGCACTTGTCGATTACAAGTATAAGAAATAATTTTTCCAATAAATCTTAGGCAATTTTTTCGACACTCAAATTGTCAAATAATATAATTACCAAAGCAAGTGTCGGGATGCTTGACAAATTGCTTAATGCCACTAATGATTCCAGACGCTGTTGCCAAAATAGATTTTATAATGATATCTTCGATTCGTTGCATAAGTAATTCCGTATCCTGACCGATGGATCGTAAATGCCTGAGGAGAGCCGATAATGTCCATTTGTGACCAACATCTTCCGCATCCGGGTCCTCGCTCCTAAACGATTAATAATTATTCATTAGTTACTACGAATTGTACTATTGAAGAATTAATACTATTTTTGAAGAAGAAAAAAATGCATATTTATACTATTTTAAAAAAAGATGATAAACGTTTCTGCGCTTGCCATATCGGAATCACAGTTATTTCAACATTTTTAATTATTATATAAAAATAGATACATTAGATTTTTAGTCATTTAACTTTGTTATTCGTATGCATTTGTGTAAATGCAAACGAAGAGGAAACGAGAATTGCTTTCGAAATTTATTTATTCACAATTACTTAAAAGTAATATAGTTATTTTCAAATAATTACTCCCTATATCGAATGAATTTTTAATAATTCTTTTTAAGCGTATTTTTATTATTTAAATATAAAAACTCAAGTACTTTATTAATAATATCATACAATTTCCGAACAATATTTAAACAAATTTGTATGCATGAAAAGTACATTGCATCATTAATAAAAGCATTGGGCATTTAAAACTCTTATTTTTATCGATAGTTTTTATATAAAAATAAACAGCTCTTGAATACAATTTACTTTAATATGTAGTATTTTCATTTCAAATGAAGTTATTAAAATAATACTCTAATTGTTTTCGTTAAAAACTTTTTCGCAAAATTATTAATATTTATATTTGGAAAAGTTGAGTAAATTTCCACCATTTATATGGCATTATTTATTTCATGTACACTTCGCACCTCGTATTTTAACACAAACATTTTTAAATCTATTTTACATGCTGCAATAATTAATTCTAACCGAAACTATTAACGGATTTAAAATTGGAACATTTTAAATGGAATTTTTGAGAATTCTTTAAGCACTATCGCTTAACTATAAAAACATTTAAATAACAATGATAAGCAAAGCTAAATAATAATGGTAGCATTTTTACAAATTATAGTAATCAAGAAATTGACATATATAAATTAAAATTAATTACTTAACAGTTGATTTTCGATATTTATCTATGAATCGTAAAACACAGATAAAACAAAAATAAATCGTTATTGTATAAGAATTTTATATCAGAATAATTAAATTACGATCTTCTAAATTTTGAAAATTTTTGGAACCAAATTATTATTAAGATTATTAGAAACGTAAACAAATAAATAAAAATTGTTTGTGCCGAATGTGCACGTCAGTAGCAGTTGCCAATAACCATAGCCTTCATTTATTTTCATTCACAATTGAACATAACATTAACGCAAAAATATTGCCCGCTTGAAATATTTAAATAATATTTAAACTAAATTATAAATATATATTATATATCACTTTGCAAATTTTTCATACAAAATTAAGTAAAAACAGTTTAAAAACAAGACGAAACTATCGATCATCAATGTATATAATTATTTTTCCAGCTTAAAATTTATTTATCGTTTTTATGTAATTCTTATTAATGATCATCAAGTACGATTCCCTTGTGTACGTTTGTTAATAATCAAGTAAATACAGTACTTTTCAATTATTTACTTACTTTAGCACATTTGTTTATTTTGCCTAATTACAATTTACAAGTATTTCATATTACTCATGTCAGTCCACTTTTGCGACTATTTCATATATTTTTGAATAATAGAAATAAAAAAGTATAACGAGTAACGTAATATTTTGCTTATATTATAATATTAGAATATCATAAATATTTGAGAATCTGCTATTTGATTGTTCATACATTAGTGCTCGAATAAGTTATATAAAATTTTCAATATTATTTTAATCAATTAGGCATTAAAATTAATGAAATTGAATTTCTAGTAATTATTTTGTATATATTTACAGAATAATTTGAACATAATATTTTAAAGAACAATAAAGCTAATACAAATTTTAATAAATAATAATAATAATAATGAATTCAAATACAAACAAAATTATAAGAAAAAAATTATGAATAATGTTGAAAATTTGCTAATTACTTCATTTGCATAAATATTTGCATAAAATTAAAGTAATAATAAAATGTATATTTACAAAACATAAATAGCATTGAAAATAGCGCTAATTGAAATCTTCTATTCAATAATCGACAAAAAATTTGAAATTGCTAACTCTATTTAATATTTATGTACGGTTCCATATTTTAAATATTATTTACCTTAATCATATTAATTATAATGATTTATACAAATTATGTTATACACTTCATGATACTTTAATGAAATACAACATAAAGTTTGCGAACAATAAGAATTCATAAAAAGCTTACACATCATTAAGAATTAATGAAATTAATATTTGAATATTTCTTACTTGCGATTGAATTATCAAATTTGCCACTATAATACATAATACAATATAATTGTGTATATAGAAATATGAACTTTTTCGTCTAAATGTCATATACATTTAGCATTGCAAAATTGTAATGAAATTTATAAAATTATTATATAAAAAATGAAATAATTTTCACAAATCTGTATAAGCTTAAAAATTTGCAGTACGTGAAAGTTAAAACTTCAAATGGAGATTTCGAGTTAAACTAAACAGATAAGAATTAAAAACATTAATATCATTTTATTTTTTGAACATTATATTGTATTAAGTGTTTATAAAAAAAAAAAAAAAGTTTCTTCGAATCTATAAATAATTGACTTTGTAATCATGAATCTTTACAAACTTTTTTTTTTTTTACTTTTTTATAAACATTATCATTAACTTCGGCATGAAAATAGAGATATTTTATTGTATTTACATTTCATGATACTTTTAAGCAAATAAATCTTCCGCTTAGTTTTACAAAGATACTTAAATCAGTATATTGAATGATTATATTCTTAAAAGTTTTGTTGAATAAATAAGCTGTGTAAGCTTTAGAAACAAAATTGTAATAAGAAATTATAATGTTTTAAAATTTTAACATAGGCATTATTCTCTAACAATGTTTCTAAATTTATTTATTACGTAATAACATTCCTTTTTAATATCATAAATGTACACAATGAAGTATGAGTTTTTAAATATAGATAATAAGTAATTATACTAAGTAATAAATCTCGACTTTGATAATTATCCAATAGAATTCGACGAGAATATATTGGTGTTAAACTTTCTATAAATCTAAATGGCAATGCTTTACTTCTATTTTGAATGTGAATAGATTTAAAACCAAAAACAAAAATTATTAATCGTTACGCTTATGGCATTGATATAATGTTAATAATCAGAATAGTGTTATTTTATTATTTATTAAATTAAAGCATAGAACAATTGTACACAAATCTATTATTTAAGCTCCATCATGCAAACATAAGCTTTTGGAAAGCCCGCGCGTATGTAACAGAGAGAGAGAGAGAGAGAGAGAGAGAGAGAGAGAGTGGAGTTTGGTGAAAAGTAGAAAGAGTAGCTTGTTAATACCAATATTTAAATTAGCCGAAAAAACTCACTTCACATAGTCAACGTGAAACTTGTTGATACTGTAGTTACATAGGTGCATGCACGGATTCCAGACGTATTGGTTTCCACCATCGTATTTCACTGTCGCGAATCTCACTAATCCCTCTTCGTAAAGGTAAATCAACAGTGGATCGTAGTTCGTTACGGCCACATACAATCGCAAATCGCATTTGTGTCCGTCAACCAGCAGCGGATTATTTATGTACTGGGCTACGATGATGGACTCGTCGGTTAAGATTTTCTCCGGCTGTGAATTTTAAAAGCAATTGGAAATTTATTGACCCAATATCTTGAGCGGTAATTTTTCAAAAAACATTATGCCGATCATTTTTCATTAATATATATATATATATTTATATCGAATTATTGAATTATACTTTTTTACCTTTAAATATCTATACATAGACGTATATAGACAATGAAAGGCGAATATCATGCGCCACTACACTATTTTCTATTTTTTCATCGTACCATATATACACACCCCATTAAAATTGTTATTAAATAAATAATTTTTCGTAATTATACAGATTCTCATTGCATTGGCGAGGCAGGATGATTTAAACTCCACAGATAAGTAAAAAATATAATATAAAACGCTTTGTGCTGGTAGAGTTGGTTGGATAATGCAAGAAGCAAAATCGTTTGGAAATAAAATGCGTATTTAAATGGTCGATTGCTTATTACGAAGAATATTAAGTCAAGAGCATGAGACTGTGAAATTTTTTATTTATCGTAGAATCATAATAGGAATGGGACTCTTATTCAACCTTTAAGTATCAAATAAATAAAAAAAAATAAAAAAAATCCTTCGATCGTCGATAATTTATGCTTAGTGCAAGTAATAAAGATAAATTGAAAAATAATATTACGCGCATACAGGAATGTGTGTGTGCATGTGAGTGTACCAGCTCATTCTTCCGGAATGAAAGAAAAACGTTATATTATTATAGATCAGCGACCTCGAATATATTAAGACTTGCTGAAATTACGAGGCCAAATATTATCTAAGAAATTATATAATTTATGTCGTTACCATGCACGATACATGATAAAATTAAATTCATTATTTTCTTATTTCTCATCACTAATTATGACAAAACTGAGTAATTAATTCGTTCAAAACTTAATATTACAAAAATCATCGCTTCGATGATATTTACTATATATTACCATTAATAATTAATAGTATCCCGTTGGCAAAGAAAAGCTATTAAGTGGGACCGAATGAACGAAATAAAGAAAAACTTTTGCTATTAGTGAGCCCAATGATAATCGTACATTTTTAAAATACGAAACGCCAATTTTATATTTCTATCAGACAAATCAGATAGAATTAATAGTCAACTAATCCATATCTTAAGTGCCTAATAATAATAATAATAATAATAATAATAACAAGAATAATAATAGTAATAACAAGAATAACAATAGTAATAACAAGAATAATAATAATAATAATAATAATAATAAGAAGAAGAAGAAGAAGAAGAATAATAATAATGATAATATAAAGAAAGAAAAAAAACAGCGTAACTTGACTTGCGAATAAAGAGGCGCGAATGTCGCGAATGAAAAGCTAATCGTTCGTTCGACGAGCGCGATGAATGAAAAATTTTTCTCCACAGAAGCAATAGCGGGACAACGCTCTTGTTAAAATCGGACGGAACGAATTGCTCTCGTCCGTGCTTTCAAAGCCGAGAAAGTATCTTTAACCAAAAAAGTAAAGAAAAGGAAAAAACAAAGGATGAAAGGAAAAAGGAAAAAAATGAGTAAAAAAAGAATACAAAAATAAAAAAAATCAAGCCTACGGGAGAAAGATTATTATTATTATTGTTATTATTATTATTATTATTGCGTATCCTTTCACATCTCCTCGAGCGCCAGGTACAACTGCTCGGTAATTGGCCAATAAATAATCTAGTGCAACTATTGGCACGGGAATTTCTCTTTTAATCGTAATGTTAAAAGGGGGTCGCGAGCGCCGGAAAGGAAAAGTCGCGGAGTCCGCCGGTAGCGTCTCGGCCGCAACTCACGCTGTTGACGATGTAGATACCGCGGCCCCGAGAGCTGGCCTTGGGCTTGACGATCCAGGGTCCGCGGTACCTAAAGTGCGCGGTCAGCAGCTCCCGAGATTCATTCGGCAGCACAAACGTCTGCGGTATGAAGTCGAGATTGCGCGCCCCTTTGCTGCGCTGCATCGCCTCGATGTTCTTGTACAGCCGATCCTTCCGGGTGATCTCGTACGACCTACCGACAGAGAAAGGGAGGAGTACAGTATTGAGTCGAGGTGGGCGAGTGGGCCGTGCGCGAGTCGAGGCGCCGACTTACGTAACAACCGGCCGATCGCTCCTCATCTGCGCGATCTCATTTACGGATAAGAGCGCGTGACAAAGGCTTATTTTCAACGTCGTTACGCGTCGCGCATTTACATATCCGCGGGATCTCGCGCTCCCCTCGTCCTATCAAGCGCTTGTAACGCGAAATTAATTTGTTTACATGGCGCACGTGCCGAATGGGAATTTAACGTAGCTACAGCCGCCACGTTGCCTTTCGCTAAATTAATAAATGTGCATTTATTGCCAGAGCGATGAGCAATAATACACGGATAATATGTATTTTGCTTAAGATTAGCCGCGATTGCTCTCGCTGGAGCGGCTGCTTACCGAGTCTTCGCGCGTCGCGAGTGAGAGAGAGATAGGCGAGTGACTGAGTCAGACTTAGAGGGTAATGAGTCGATGAGAAATCGCCAATGTACCTGGGAAAGTGGTTCACTTTTTGATAAGGCAGCAGACTACGAAGAATGTCAGGCTTTGGGTGATTGCCCATCCACAAGATGTTGAATGTCGACTCGGTCATGGCGATCTGCAATTAAGAAAGACAAGGATTTTATAAACTGTCGGGCTATTTTTTAAGGAGCCCTTAGAGTTCGACAAGGGCATTTCAATTGCTATTATGCCATTAATCCTTATTGGCGAATGCGCCATCTGCCATCTTCCACCCCCACGTCCCCCCCCCTCCCCATCCTACTCCTTCTCCTCCTCCTCCCACCAAATCTCCCGCCCTCATTCGCCAACTCCTTAGCCGCTCGGGCTCAATTCAAGCACGACTATTAAAGAGTCGCTCGCGCGACCTTGACAACACTCATTTTTTAAAGACTAAATACGACCGTCGCATAAATGTTTGCAAATAGACGCAACGTTCGCAAGACGCATTTAGATTGGCTTCTTTTAAGTATCTTGGACATTAATATCATTCATCTTTCCGCGAAGAGGTTTCTCTGAATAAAATGTCTCGCAGATATACGTTCTATATTCTAGCCGTCCAGCTGCTTTACAATTTTATAAACATTATTACATTAACTAGTCTTAGCTTCGCACTTTTCTTGTTGTGCGCGTGTTTTTTTCTTCTTTTTTTTTTCTTTTTTTTGTTACGATAAATTAACGTTCTTAGACTTTCGAGGGCACTTTTGTTTGTTGAAGAATTATTATTGCAAGTGGGTCACTGTTGAAAAATAAAAATAAAAACAAATCAAAACAACAAAGAAAAAGCTGTCGTATCAAGTGATAACATAGATATTATTCGTAATTTTTCAACGAATAAAATAATGTGCGATATACGCGTGTCCAGCGGTATTTTGTAATTACAAAATAATTTGCATTATTCCGATGACAATGTATAAATTAATATGGTTTTTGCAACTACTCGTCATGGTTAGCTGATTAAATTTCCAACATTCTCAAATGCTGTTAAAACTCAAAGTAATAACTTAAAATAAATCATTATTTTATGTCTTAATTATATATGCATTAGTCGCTCAACAGAAATTAATCATATATTTAATCCATTAGATTTCATCTATTATGTTCGTATTTAATTACATTTTAGCATTAAAATTACGATATATAATTTTAAGTTCTACGTCATGAAATTATGTTTATTTTACATTTCGTAGTAATAGTCCATAATTAATGAATCACAATTGTACATTACAAGTATAAGTCATTTGAAATAGATGAATATTCATTACTGCAAGTACTATTACTGGACATTTTCCATTAAGTATCAAATTAATTCGATGAGTCTTGCTAATTTTCATGGCATACGTTAATTCTCACAATAATAAATAGTTTATTTTAAAACACTGTTTAGAGAAGGGAAATTTGAAAATATACAAATATCAATGTAAAATTAAAGAATTTTGTTGTTTTTGTTGTTGTTGTTGTTGTAATTTAATTGATTTTCAACAATATCTGCATATTTCATTGTATCGTTATGAAAATAGAGTTACCAAAGAAAATCTCTAATATGCATTTAATTAAAATCATATTGGCATGACGTTTGTAGGAAAATTCATGAAAATATCGACCTGTTAAATAAAGAATATAAAGGAACTTGTATTATTATTACCTAAATGTTTTTAAACGAACGATAAAAATATTAACTTAATGAAATTTGTTATTTATCGACTATTTTACAACAATAATAATGGAAATGATAATAACGACAACAGCCACAATAATAATAATAATAATAATAATAATAATAATAATAATAATAATAACAACAACAACAACAACAACAAAAACAACAACAATAACAACAACAATAATAATAATAATGTTGTAAAATATTTCTTTTAAGATTCTATACTCCTTGGTTATTACTAGCATTTGACAATTTATTATGAGCTGCAGTCATAAATTTATAATAAATTAGAAATTCAAATATCTACCGTAGCAGTCAATAATCGTAAACTAATCATAATACTTTGTAAAAAGATTAAAAGCTTTCTGAAAGTTAAATATAAAATTTGTAAAAAGATTTTCAGATTGCATATGGAAAATACCGTTTGTTTCTTTTTTTTTCCTTTATTTTTCTTTATCTGTAAATTCATCCTGAAGAAAAATTTGAAATATTCATTTTTCAAAATAATTGTTAGAATATTTTTATTCGTGATGTAAGCTATTTTATAAAGTAATTCACGCGTAATTAAATAGATATATAATGTCACGTTTATTCAGTAAATTTATGTACTGTGCAATGTTAAAAAAGGTAATCAAATTGAAGGTATATTGCCTTAAAAAATTGGACGTCTCAATATGGATGTTTGGTTGTTTTTTTATATTTTGACTTTTTTTTTTTTTTTTTTGTTAACTGGGAATGTGAAATTTTGTCTTTAGTTGGAATAAAAGTTGAAAAGCATTTAGTAAGTAAACTACGGAAATGTTGGGAAAATCCTGAAGATACAGAGAGATAGAGAGAGAGAGAGAGAGAGAGAGAGAGAGAGAGAGAGAGAGAGAGAGAGAGAGGAGGAGAGGGCGGTCGAGAATTGAAAACTAAAGTGCGGCCCAATTAGTAAGTGTATAAGCCAGTAATTATAAAATAAGTGGAATGCACTGTAAAAGGAATAAAGGAAGTTTAATTTGGCTAGGCTGAAAGAATCGACAGCTAGGCGTTTACCAACACTGGCACGCTCCAAGACGTAAAGCCGAATAAATTTTCAACAGCAGCGCGTTTACGTCAGATGTCGAGGCACAAAGAGATCAGACGGCAAAATAATTCGAAAGCCGCGCGCGTCCCTAGAGCGCAAACAATGAACCCGGCACCTGCTAACCCAAGGGCGATGATCAACTATCTTTCTCCCTCCCTCTCTCTCTCTCTCTCTCTCTCTCTCTCTCTCTCTCTCTCTCTCTCTGTGTCTCTCCCAATAGGTTAATCGGTTGTCGCGATACTCGCGCGTCACCTCACCATTATAACGGCTAACGCGTGTTTCCGCAAACGATCGCTAAAACGCAAGTGCGTCACATCCAAGGACTTCTCTCCCATTAACGCGTGTCCATCCAAAGCCATTGCAGAAACTTGCGGAATTGTTGTCGGAGCACGGAGATTTCTGCCCCTGCTCTTTCTTTTCTCTATGTATCCCGTTCCTATCTAATTCTCCTCCCTTGTGCTTTATCTCTGTTGGTCAATCTATTTAAAATAATTTTTCTCTCGATGAAAGACCTCAACGTATCAAGCATTTTATGGAGAAAAAAAAAAAAAAAAAAAAAACTACCGTAACATTGCCTGGCATTGAGTTTGTATTAAACCAAATCCATAAAATACTTAACGTACATTATTTTCTATAACTTATGTATTATAAACTATAATTTATTCTACAGCTATTTTCTTGTATTTCTATAAATATTTATTGCGTTCTTATTCGATGGAATATTTTGACGTTTTTATTATTATTACATTTTTACATATATATTATGAAATTAATTCTTGAAGTAATATATAATATTCATAATATTCATAATATTAAAAAATCGATAGAGTTGTTATTAATATATATATATATATATATATATATATAAAGCAAATGATTAATATCAATGATACGACAACGTATAGCGTACAACTGAAAACTTTTATTTACAATTCCAATGCAATTTTCATCTAACTTACCTAAATATAATCATAGTCTTAAATATAAAACAAATAAATTTTAAACCTAAAATGTAAATCCTAATTTTTCAGCTGCTATTTTGCCTTCAGCTATTAAAAGTTTCTTAAGTTATTATACCGAAATTTCATTCTATGTTATTCAGCTTTATTTTCTCAAGCTGTTGATCGATCGACTATTTTATTCTCTTTTGATCTATTCTAATTGAAGAAGAATATATTGAAAAAATTTTGGATATAATTTGCAGAATACTTCGTTTATTTGTAAAACACATTATACTAAATTGCAAGATTTTTTTCATACTAATTTTAACACTTTCAGCCCACTTCAAATATTTTATAGAAATTTATATACATACATTATTATTATTATTATTATTTTATTATTATTATTATTTTTTTTTTAATACGATTAATACTATATTTTAGTTGAATAAATTTCCTAATTTCAATAATTAATAAGTTCAACGATAATTGTAATCGCTAACAAAAACTACAACAACGATACTGTATCTCGTTTATTTTCTTAAGCTTTTAATGAATTAAAAGGGAAAAAAAATTATATTTACTAGAAAACATCTAGCCCGTATTATTTGAAAAGAGTATATAGAATTATAATTAAAATAGTATTTTTGAATCTCTTCATTTAACATTCTACATTTTATATAAAATTTATATATAAGTATATTGTATTTAACACAAAACGAATGAAATATTAAATTAGCGTATAGTGATCATTTATAACGCTTATGATGATAAAGATCATCTGAAATTCTTAATAATTGATAAAATATCAAGTTACAATATTATTGCAAATAATCAAATGATGAAACATCGGAAAGCTTGGAAAATGGCTTGTTCGATTGTTCATACGCACATGGTATTAAGATTCCGAGAAATTTCCAATTATCGTAATACATTGTATCGAATGATAAATTGGGCAAAAGATCTATTAGCGAACTTACGTATATAAACTGATCGGTAAGTGCAGCATATAAGTTATGCAAAAGAAACGCGAAGATTTATTAAAAACTGAATTCGTTGAGTGAAATTGGCTTAAAATGTCCAAGTCATCCAATATTCTCTGCAATTTTGATTAAATCTTGATCGATTGCCTAGTAGGGCTGTGATCTAATAGAGAGCTAATTGATTAGCGCGTGTATGGTAAGGAGGCGAGGCTGTGCTTATTTGACTATCCAATGATTCAATTAATCGCTCAGCAAAAGCGATCGAACCGCGGAGAAAGTCAAGCATGCTTCGGATTGATTTTTTATTCCATAGGAATTTCGCCAATACGCAATGATTGCTGAAGGCTCGGTAAACAGTTGCTGTTAAATCCGTGCTTGATAATCGGAAATCGGCTTTACGATCAGAGGTGCTGCGCGGTTGTGTGACAGCGGCAACGACGAGT